TTTGTTAGTATGAATATATTTATACTAAACAATAAAAAACAACAGAAAGTTAATCTAAGACTACTTAACAATGAATTGAAGAAAAAGGGCTTCAGTTCCCTCACCTAGTAGAGTAGAGAAAACACTGACCACAGACTTTCGGGTGGGTATCTCTGGCAGCAGGTCAGTAAATGTAATAAGAATCCCACTTGTATGTTTGTCTATGATGTTAAGCACCTCCTTCTCAGTATCCAAACGAGACAGCTGTGAAAGATTTGGTGTCTCAACACTCCTAGGAGGAGCTGAAGGATGCCTTATTGGGGTGACAGTGCCTGGAATGAAGGACTCCTCACCAACAACTGGTCCAGGAGCTTTGTATGGCAAAGGCACATCAGAAGGCTGTTGCTGTGCCTCAGGTTGGAATGCCTCCTCTGGGAGCTGTCCACCACTTATTAGCTGAGGTTGTATATCTTGTACCTCAAATTCTCCAGTGGCAGGTATTGGAAAAATTTCTAAATCTTCAGAGGAGATTCTGGCAAAATATTTACATTATAAGCATGAATCTATCAAGTGAAGTCATGTAAATTGAAAATTAGTTTTTATATCATATTTTAAAGTAAAACAAATTTCAATATATGAAAACTGATTTAGATGCATTCATAAATGGGAAAAAGTCAGGATTTAGTTGAGTACTTCTACATATTCATAAAATACTATATGTAGTACAAGTAAACCAATGTTGTAAATGTTTATACTGAAGTCAATTATAAACTGAAAATGAATTATAGAGCAAAATATAAACCAGATGTAAGACTTAGTTGTATATCCAGTAAATATAAGTGTACACAAGAATAAAGTGAGTAGATGAGAGAGGTGGGTGGTTGTTTGAGCAAGCATTCAGAACCAAAAAGAAAGAGAAAAAAACATCACAGGAGCCATTATAGAAGCAGGTGAATGAGACCTCAAGCTCTGGCATTTTGAATCAAAATGCCATTAAGTAGAGTTTACTACGTAGCAGCATAAAGCCCTAAGTAAAATTTTGAATACTGAAATATTCATATGTTAACAAAGATTTAAGATGTTGTATTAGTGATTATGAGATAAACTATTACACACAACACATACATAGGCAGAAAATAGCCTTAACCCATTCGCGCTGGGCGTCACGTATACGTGACAGGCTCACTGAGAGTTTACTTGTTTAATTGTTTTCACACATAGATGGCTACACCTGTACTTGTACTACCTGTCTCGCCTGTTTACCCTTTTCTTTGATTTATGAAATTATTTTGCGTTATCTTATTTTGTTGTTACTAATGTTTATAACATTATAGTAATTATAATGTTTATAACAAAAATAACTGTCGATATTCATAGCAGTAGTAAAAATACATTTTCCTGCCAATTCAAGTAAAGGTGAAATCAGGTAAGGCAGAGCCATCTAGTGTAGAGAAATTTCATTAACCCATTCGCGCCGGGTGTCACGTATACATGACAGGCCCACTGTGAGTTTACTTGTTTAATTGTTTTCACACATAGATGGCTACACTTGTACTTGTACGGCCTGTGTCGTCTGTTTACCCTTTTCTTTAATTTACGAAAATATTTTACATTATCTTATTTTGCCGTTATTAATGTTCATAACATTATAGTAATTATAATGTTTATAATAAAAATAACCATCGATATTCATAGCACTAGTAAAAAATACATTTTCCCACCAAATGAAATCAGGTAAGGCAGAGCCATCTAGTGTAGAGAAATTTCACAAAAAGTATAAAAAATGAGCACAGCATTTTTCTCCATTTTTTGTTCATTTTTACCTGGCGTGAATGGGTTAAAAAAACATAAAAAATGAGCACAGCATTTTCCCTATTCTTTGTTCATTTTTACCCAGTGCAAATGGGTTAAACAACAGCAAAGAAATGGAGTGAGGTTTAGAATAAATATAACAGGAGACCATCTACAGGCACTACCAGTGTTAACTGGAGACATGCCATTGTGTATATGGAATCACATATTCTTCATGCATGATAGTGTACCTGCTTATTTTACCTAATCATGAAGGGAATATTTGGATATTGTTACTGGGGGATAAGGCATACTGCCCCATTCTGCTTCCCTGATATTCTGGAATTTTGCCTATGGCAGTTGTTTTTAACTTGGAGGGGTGTGAGCCCAGAGTAAAAATGCAGACAAGGCTGTAAAAAGATTAATAGCCACTGGCGTATGGGGAATTATAGCCCTGTCTATGATAGGTGTAAGCACAAAAAAATCACTTTTGGAGTGTCTGTATATTAATGTGCACTGTTAGCATTGCATGGGGGTCACTAAATATTTCTTTCTGTGAATAAACGAGTATAACCCTCTGCAGATTTTGCTTAATTTTTCAGTAGCATTAAAGTATTAATACAATGCACTATAACAGACAAAGCAGAATTGCACATTTTGTCATACAATCTGCAATTCGAGGGTGGCGAGGGTGAGGAAGGAGGTAGCATCAGGCTCCTCACAGCTAGGT